TTAGTTTTTCACCGAATTTCTGGACGATTGTTATGAATGTGAACATTATGATGTTTTTTGATTTGACAGATTCTGAACAATCGACTGTTTTACGTAACTTCACTCTGTTTGTTCTCAGGAGTTTATAAGTGTCTGACTATGGGAACAGGTTTTCATCCACACACACACACAGTACACGATCTCCTCTTGATAACAAATCTAACAGTAAAAATAACTAATGGTTTTTTCACCTCCCTCCCACATATGAAAACCTGTTCTATAGACACTATAGACGATCTGCAACCCGACACAATGTCCTGGTTGTTATCTTACCGATGTGTGCATGAGTGATGTTGGACACACACACACACGCACGCACGCACACAGACACACACACATGCACATATCACTCATGCACACATAAGATTAGTAATGACTAAAGAAAAGAAAACAGCAATAAAGGAAAGAACAGGGATGTGAAGAAGAAGGAAGGAAGAAAGATAAGAAGGAAATTAGTAAGGACTAAATAAAGAGAAAGAAAGACTAAATGTCTCAATTTAAAATAAGATCTAATCAGATTAAATAATCATATTTGAAAGTAATCAAGTAAATATTCTTAATTACTTTCTGGACATTTGCCCCTGAATCATTTATCATCATATTTCAGTCACAGTCTAAACGTTTCTCATCTTTTAATTCGAATCAACTTCAAGAAATTTCAGTAAATTTAAAAAATCAAAACAGGTCAAAACATCTGGAACAAAAAACACAGCAACACAAGCGTTGAACTTGTGTGCAGAAACAAAAACGTTAAGTGCTGCTTATTTTCCTCGGAACATTATGAGTCGTTAACATTTGGCTGCAGGTCGGTAAAGACACACACAGACGCACACACACACACACACTAAAGCCAAACACATATTCGTTTATATATTTAGTTGCTAGAAATCTAAAAATCCAGAACACACATTGGCGACTAACGATCAAATACTAATTTGTCGTCTAGTTTATATATTTGTCATTCAGCTTAAATCGTCCAGAAGGTATGTGAGGTTGTCCATGTGCAAAGAACCGGCTTTTAAATTTGAGTTTTCTGAGTTAAATGATGGATGAGAATAAACGTCACAAACAATAAACAGTAGTGATACGAGGATAATGCACAGAAATAATAATCGATGGATAAAGAAGTTCTTGCAGTTATCGTCAGTTGAATGCATCTTTTCTCTCAAAATGAAGATGTTTGCACTATGTTAAGTTAAATAATGTCCTTGAAGACTAGAGATGGGGACTTGTGGTGGATACATGCAAACCTTCTTTTATTTTTCCCTGTTAAAAGGTTTTTTTGTAGTTTTTCCTTACTCTTGTTGAGGGTTAAGGACAGAGGATTGTTGTTAAAGCCCTATGAGACAAATTGTGATTTGTGAATATGGACTATACAAACAAAATTGTACTTTCATTTCCTCCAATCATCATATTTAGTGTGTACCATCACTAGGTCTGTGTATGTTGGTCCTACTCCAAACTATCTTGTTAACCTGCTCCTGTAGTCGACTGCACAAGTTTGTAATATCCGACTCATATGTTTCTGTTTTTGCTGAACGTGTGTTTTTGTTGATGAGATGAATTCTGGAGCTTTATCTGCATGTATCGGTACAATTATTCTTTTTTATATAGTACATCCACTTCGTTAAATGCCTTTAGTCCTGGAATCCCCTGATTTTTATTTCAATTTGTGTAGTGGTTGTGTCTTGCGTCTTGTAAATTGTATGTTTGGCATCGAGGAGGAGGACTGTGCCACAATTTCGTTGTGCTAGTTTACGAAGTACGACCGTGCAATGACAATAAAGTCTCCTGAATTGAATTGAATTGAATTGAATGAGGATTATTGTGTTTTTTGTGATTTCAGTGGGCTCGATCCTTGGAATTCCTGAAGAGAGCCAGGTTCATTCATGCAGAATTGAACCCACAAGACATCATGATGGTGAATCACATCAGGCAGCCGCTGAAAGTTAAGATCATTGGTTTAGAGAGCAACAAACCTGAGGAGAAGACAGGTCAAGTCCTCCAGTCCTGGGTCTACAGGTAAGTAAATGACGGCACATCTGTTTACCTGCGACAGCTGCGTTTGCTGTAATGAATTAGATTTAACTTGTTTGTGTTTCTTCTTCTTCTTCTAAGATCTCCTGAGATTTTGCGGAAGGTTCGTTTCAACGAGTTCATCGACGTATGGCCTCTAGGCTGCATTGCTGCCGAGTTGTAAATGGGCCACCACCTGTTCAATGGCTCCAATGAGTCTGATCACTGATTTCAACTATTTTATTAATGAGACAATCTAGAGACACTTCATCCAAAAGTGCACCTGATCAACAATGAAGAGTTTAATTTTCATTTGCTTCCAGTGTGAAGTCCTGCAAAGATACGATCGACAGCTCATTCTTTCCTGAGACTGCAGTTTACTTTTTTTGTCAGTCGGATTCTCCCACACGATATCTTCTTACTCCTGTTTCTCATTAAAACAAATGAACATAAATATGTCTGTGACTCCAAACAAGAGAAAGAAGCTCTGCTGACACACATGTGTTCAGACTGTTTTTAAACTAAACCAAAACAAGGTTTCTGTGCTTTGTGACCTGTGTCCCACCTACACCCTCCCCCATCTTTATTTCTCCCTCCATCCCGCTCTTCTTAATCGACCGTGCGATCGCAGCCGTGTTCTCCTATCGGCCTAATTACCGCAGAGAAATGTAAATAACATTATACAACAGTAGCGCCGGGCCACACGCCGCTTCGCACAGCGAGGCCGAGTGAGGAGAGGAGAGAGAGAGACGCAGGAGGACGAGGAGAGGATGGAGAAAAACACTTTTATTGTCAATATTTGTGATAATGAGGGGGCTGGTATTTCTGAACGAGGGGAAGGAAAGATGATTAAAAGAGGAGAAGTAGAGGGTGAAGGGGTTCAGTAGAAATAAAAAAAAAAACAGGGAAGTAAAGAACAGGATAGATTACAGAGAAGAGCGAGTGATTTTAAATGAGCTGTAACTGGTGAAGATCAGACGCAGCAGAGCCCGAAAACCAGAAAACCAGAATGAAGCAGGGTCCATTAATGAAGCTTTGTTCTCTTCACAGAGAGCTAGAGAGAAAGAGAGAGAGAGAGAGAGAGAGCTCATGCAGATGAGTGAAAGCAGAGGTGGAGAAACAGATGTTACTGTCAGGGCAGAATGAAAGAGACGGAGATGGAGGTCGAGCAGGTCCTCCACTAATTGGCTCCTCCAGTTCACGTGTCATGGGCGGAACCACAGACTGTGAATAAAGATGGTGTCTCCACGTCCTCCTGCAAAAATATCTTGGGACACAGGCGTCGCCATCTTGTGCTTTTGACGTCGTTTAGAGTCTCGAGTTGTCTCGAGTGTCAGTGTCACCTGTCCATCATGTCGTATACAATTCTCCATATTCACACTTACTTAAATCAAGCCGCTGATTTAAGGTGAAAAAGTTGCACAGCATTGATTTGATATCAGGTGATTTAAATTAACCTCGAAACCAATAATCTGATTACTGCAGGAGTCAAAAATCCCCACGATGCATTGCACAAATATGAAGTCCAATATTCAGTGGACAGGCCACAAAGTTACGTGAGAGGTGAAGTGTGACACCACCGTCAAGCTGCGTGTGTGTGTACAGTTTATACTGTGTATGTGGGTTTGTTTACTGTGATCACATCGAGAGAAGGGTATGAAGGGGATGTTCGGGGAGGACATGGGAGGGGGGGGGGGCGGGTGAGGAGGGTGGGGTCACACAACATGTGGAATACACATCAGGTCCCAGATCAGGAACAAAGACGTTATGTAAGGACCACAATCCCTTTGTTTTGTCCAAGTACACAATGCCAATCAGCCCTGAATCCAGTGTCTGCGTCTGTGTGTGTGTGTGTGTGTGTGTGTGTGTGTGTGTGTGTGTCTAGGTAAGCACCAGACAGTCTGATGTGGAGAAAAAACAAATGGACAACGACATAGGAAAGTGTCGTCCCAGCTTCAGTCTCTCTCTCTCTCTCCTGTTTGTTTGTTTGTTGCTCTGGAGGAAGTTGAACAGGAATAAATAAAGAACGAGGAGACGCCATCGTTTCCAGAACACGATGAGAAAATAAACAAATCAGGCTGTTTTGCTGAATGTCCTTGTTCACCCGATTATTTCTCCTCCCTGTCGTCTCAAGGTTTTAGGAAAATATGGTTTGTGTGATTGCTTAAGAATCAAGAGAAGAAAACTCTATGTCCGGCCTCCTTGGCCAGATATTTATTTCCATATAGATTTAATAAAGTAGACGACGAAAGACAAGACCGTGAGCAATGACCCAAAAAATGATTCTGCAGATACAAGCGGCTGAAATGTGCTTTGGAGGTGCAGCTCGGAGTAGAAGAACAAGATTCTTGACGCAAATAATCCAAAAGCAAACATTGAAAAACATACGTGGAGTGACTTCATGACCAAACAGACGAAGCTCGAACCATATGGACGCATAAACCACACGGGGCAGGGCCCTGGTTCGACTCCCGGTCGACCAGAACACGAGACGACTACAAATAAAAATGCAAAAATAAATTATCGTTGAATTAAAGTATTCAGTCGTTTTGCTGTGAGCTCGTTTGCAGCTCGTGTTTTGTCGAGGTCGGACTGAAGAAAACAAACTCCTGTGCTGTCGTTTGAAACCCGTCAGGCTCAGGTTGCAGTGAAAGGCACAACAACGTGACACACACACACACACACACACACACACACACACACACAGAGACTCTATACATTTCCTGGCAGGAACACTTATGTAACATACAACAGACAAAGCATTCGGGGATCTGGAGGAGCTGTTGTCGTTGGCAGCGTCCCACCCTCCGCTGCCCTTTCTGTCTCCGTCTGTCGTCGTCTACTTACTGTACTTGGACAGACCAATCAGAGAGTGACGGACAGGCCGAGGTGAAGTTAAACAGAACTCTCGCTCTCTCTGTGAGACGATGGCAGATGCTTCACTAATGACTTTACTGTTAAAGTAACTTTAAAATTGTTCCCAGGCTGAAAACAGAGCCGCTCGGCCACGTGACGAAGAAAACCGAGATGTAATTCATGTTTAAATGCATCTTCACCGCTGTTAATAAACAGGTGATAGAAGTGAATACGGAGCCGTTGTTTTATTGTGAGGGTCAGGATTACGCAAAAAAAACAAATGTATTGACAGGTTTTTATAGATAATAATATAACTGTGAGCGATTTGGTTCAGATCCAAGTAAAAATACA